TAATTTAGTAAAACTATCTAAAAGATGAAATATAACTGAGGTGCCAAACTATTGACAGTATAATAGATCAAGCTCAGATTGCTTTGATATAATGAATCTTTTTTCTTTCTATTATTATCATGATTATAGTGATATAACTGACAAATGCAATGTTTTTAACTAAAAGGAAAAAATTTGGTATAAAATTTAGATTTTCGTATGATATAATAAAAATAAATAATATAAAATAATATATTATACAACAAAAATAAATATTAGATAAAATTAAATTTAAGTAGTCCAAAATACACAATTCTAATTTCAAATAAACAATAAACAACAAATTTTTGTTCGCTAATAATTTCAATAGGGTGCTGCCAATTTTTATATTAGAAAGAATTGACCTATTATCAAACTTTTAAGTAACAACATTATCTGTGTTCTCTCCTTTTTACGATATTTTAATTTTTAAGTTATGAGTATGCAATACAATAATATTTGAAAATGATCACAATGCTAATAACTATTTCCAACTCAGTAGTCGGTAGGTACTCACTACTCCCATGTAAGCATCGTGTAATAGTCAACAATAACATTAGCAATATATAACCCCTTAAAAACTCGAATTTAAGGTGTTCGATATAGACAATTTGAATGATGTTTGAGAAGTATTAAAAATGTAAATATTAAATATACTTTAAAACAACCCTATATACTCTAGTCTCTAAGTATATTAAAAGTAGTGCCGTGTTGCAAAATAATGTTATTGTATGGAAAATCAGTTTCACAAAAAAATAAATGATAACTTTAAAATTATATTGACTGTATTACATAATATTATATATTTATTTGTTTATATTTTCTGTAGTCAAATTTTTATTTTAGATTACCAATTACTTATACAAGACATTCAAGATTAGAATATTATTATTTTGGAATGGACGTATTCAACTTGAATATACAAAAAAGTCGCGATCACGGTATTCCAAGCTACACACAATTTGGAAAATATTGCAGACTAAAAAGTAAAAAATATAGATAATGAACAAGATTTGTTGAGATCATGAAGCCAGTTAATGTAAGTTTAATAACATTTGAAATAACAGTATACTTTACAGATTACTTTCTTCCTGTATGTTATATTTAGTCAAAGGATAAATTGAAGCAGTACACAACTTGGAAAGATATAGATCTATTGATACTTGCATTGTTTGAGAAACACAAAGATGACACATCGGTTAGCCCAACGACTATCATTAGAGAGCAGTTTATAAGAACTAGAAATATGTGCAGATAGATATTTCTATGATTTACCAAAAGTATTCATCGAATGTAAGTACAACTGAATTATTTTTAAAGAATGGACTTTATTTTAACCAACTTTTTTAAATTTAAGATCAACTAGCAGAAATCAGAAAAGTGACCAGTCTTTTGTGATAACTGTGATAATATCACGATGCAGAAACGAATATTTTTAAACCTACAACTCCTGATTAGCAACGTTGTAATTCTTATGTAAATATATTGTAAAAACATTATTAGATAATAATATAATAATAATTATCTTCTATATAATATATTATATTATATTAATAAAAATCAAATTCTGTTTAAGAGGATGTTAGCGCACTATTTGTTTTCTCTCTCTGGCCTACGTGGCACATAGACCAAACGCATAAAATCATTTTTTCTATGTTTGCATGTAATCTTAGAGTAAAATCATCCATTACAAAAAAGCTAGAGAATAATAGTTTTGAGGAAATAACATATCGATTTTATATTTTATTGTTATTTGACTTTTTATTCGACTTTCAAAATAAACAAAAAAATATTGTAAATTTAAATAATATTTAAATTGGTTTGAGACAATATTTAGACAAATTAATATGTCATTCCCTCAAAAATATTATTCTCTATCTTTTTTGTAATGGATGATTTTACTCTAAGATCGCTTAAAAACATAGAAAAATGATTCTGCGTAAATGCGTTTTGTCTATGTTGCGCGTGGGCCAGAGAGAGAAAACAAATAGTGCGCTGACATCGTTTTAATTCTGGCTAAAAATTTTTTTGTGTTTGTCAGGACAAGGCTTGTAAGAAAGAAAAATTTAGGAAATTCCTCTGGAAAAGTAAGAAATCAGGATGAATGTGAAATACAACAATGCCACCCCACCTCACCAACAAAATATATGTTAAAAATACACCAATGGTGTAATATACTTTTATTTTTGTATTTTTTTTTTTTTGTTTATTTCAGCGTTGTTATTGGTTACAAACAAAAAATAAAATAGTCATTATGAATGAATATAATTTTACTAATTTTAAACCTGTATTCTCAAAAAAATCAAAATTACTAATTTAAATATCTTAAATGGAGATTAAGATGGGATAAACGATCGCCATTAATTAAAGGAAAACTGTTTATTTCAATATATTATTATAATGGTTCGATATAATTTAAAACAATATCACTTTATCAGTCATTCATAGTTTTAAAAAAAGTCAATGGCACAATATATCTAGCTTTTATGTTAAAGCCATAATAATGTTCTTTATGTTAAAAAAAAAGGAAATTATTACTTACCAAATTTATAAGTTTACGTATTAGGTGGTTAGGTTAGGAGGTTAGGCGGTACTACCTAATTTATGTGCAATGTTATGTTTAATGTGTTAAAAATTAAACAAACTTCTAAGTTAAACTTAAATTTATTTTTTGAACATCATTAAGTAACAAATTTAACACAAAATTTGAATCTTATAAGTGGAATTTTTTTAAGACATAGAAAGTAACTTTAGGTTGTATAATTAAGCTAATATCATTATATATTTACTTTATTCAAGAAGTATACTTAATCATTTTAAGCAATAATTATAGTATTTAATTAAATTTCATGAGATATAGATGTTAAGACACCCAGATAGTGATTTTAGAGACTTAACCCAATATTTTTGAATAATCAATATCAATAAATCTAAACAACACTAATTATTTAATAATGAAAAATGCCAAGTTGAAGTATTAAAACCAAGACTTCATTCTGGTTATGTTCAAGTAAGAACATAAATGATATTATTTAACAGAGTTGCATACTTACGTAATACTTAATATGTATTTAATGATAGCAATTATATTTTAATAATAAAAGCAGACATTTTTTTTTTTTTTTAATATTATAATTTATGGCGCAAGACTTAATATAAAAACAAAAAAAAAATTTTTCTTCAATTTTTCTTACAAAATGTAAAAGTAAATATTTAAATGAGGTTTGACATATTATCATTTTTAACATTGTTAAGAATATTAAAGTTATTATAGTTAAAATTATGGAATAACTGAATTAAAATAATTGAGTATATAGATTCTGTATTATGAAAAATTATGAAAAAGTACATGGTTGTACTTCAAACTCGAACAAGATACCCAATCATCAGATTCATGTTATACTGGAGGTCTAATATATTTAAATTTCAAAGATAGGTTATCCATAAGAGGTTTAGGTAATGAAAGATTTATAATAATTTTGGATACTGTTTTTTGGACTCTTTAGAATATTTCAGTAAAAGATAGATAAAAATATACATTTTAGTTGATAAAAAAAATCATATAATTAAATTTAATGATAAAACAGTATAAAAATACATGATTAATTAATGTAATATAAACTTTAATTTGGTTCAGTCACACAATTGGATGGATTGGTTGTACATATTACATTATTATTTATTACAATATGCATATAAAAATTATTATTTCTAATGATGAACTAGCATAAATTTATAAAATGTATGTATCTATCCTTATTTTAATTTGAACAAATTAAATAAAAGAACTATTACAAACTATTACGACAAAATATGTTTAATAATAGCTCAACAATTTATTATTATTATTATTAATATGATTTGAAATTCCTAAAAAATAAAAATTAATATAAAATAAATATATTTGTGAATTTGACATTTGTATATAATTTGTAATTTTATAAAAATCTTATTCATAAAAAATAATATAATATACTGTTAACATTTCCTTAATGGAATTGTTCTTTTTATAAAGTGAATATCCACACTTGATGAAACAATCCATATCATGAATAATACATACTTTACACAATATGAATGGTTACTTTTGTGGAATGGATAATCAATTTTCCAATGTATATGCATACTATTTGATAATACATTCTGTACATTTTATATGAATCACATTTTATTAAATAAATATTTTTTGATATTATGAAAGTTGTTCAACCTATTCATCTCTATTACAAAATACCATAACTGCTTAATTATATCAAGACAAATGATTATTTTTTTTTTTACATTTTATTCCTATATAACTATAAATTACTATAAAATTAATAGAGTTCTGAATAGATCCACTAAACATAGTAATAAATGAAAAAAAAAATGCAATAATAAATAACACTTAAGTATAAAGTATTATTGGTTAAATTCATTTTTGATTTTTTGAAATTAATAATTTAAAAATTACTTAATAACAAATAAAAATATTTAAATTAAACTTATAACTTATTTTCTAGATAAAAGTAAAACTAAATTAGTTCTAATAATATTAATTACAGTGTGTAAAATCAATAATTATTTGATTTGTTTAATAATATAATGCAGTTTTGGGATTCTGAAAGTGGCAAATAAATTAGACAATATGGACATCCATTTCATGAAATGTCATCCTAATTATTTAAAAAAAAAAAATGTATTATTCACAATATGGATATTTTTTTATTAAATGGATGTGACTTCTTATTATAATGTATAATATAAATTTATCAGATCATACCAAGTATAAGCAATGTATATTTTTCACAACTATACTTGCTTATTTTAAAATATGTGAATATCAATAAGTAGAATATTTAAAATTGTAGAATGCATTGGAGTATCTATTATCAATTTATATAAAATAATGAAAAATAATTATGATAGTTAAAATCTACTATAAGTAACCTACTCATATCAGTATAAACAAGATTATTATTTTAATGTTATTGTAATAATGTCTAAAATGACAGATTTCTAAACCACTGAAAAATAGATAGATTTTTTAAATATCTAAATAACGTTAGTTCCTTTGGACCATTACAGCCATCAGAATCACAAGTATAAATACATGTTCGATATTCTACTACATCACCTGGCCGTTTATAATAATTGCAGTAATTTCCTAAATTATGAGATGAACAGTAACGAGTAACTCCGAGTCCTCCTATAATAAATAAAAATTACAATAAATTATCAAATAATATTTTTGATAATATTTTTTTACAAAATAATAAGATCATAGTTACCGCTGTGTAGTCCAATTAGTGTCACACAATAAGCGGCATCGTTAATACTTGTACATGGTTGGGGACGTAGGCTGTCTGAATCTTCCATATTTTCTGTACAAAGAAATTGATGGTTGATGTCGGTACTGTTGCATTGAAAACATGATATACTTACAGCTGGACAACATAATAAATAATTGTTCATATTGTGTTTAAATCATACATTAAATCTAACAAGCCTTAAAATATTCAGTGTAATATTTACCAGATCTTATGGTGGAAATAAATGCAATAAGAACTAATAGAAAAAATGTATTTGAATTAACCATAGTTTTAAAATAAAATGAAATACGAAAATATAATTTTAACACAACGTAAAGAGTTTCCAAATGTCAAAATCGAAAATTTTTAGTAGGTACTTATATGGTTTTGGTTAGATCTATTTAACTACCATTAACCATTGAATATAAGTAGGTACTAAAAAGAGAAAGTCTAAAACTATGTATACCTACGTGGCTACGTCCTACAATGGTATAGACTATAGAAAAATGTAGGTATCTTTAAGTAAAAATGTAAAAGCAAAAATGAATAGATAACGAAGAAACAAAAAACAAAAAGATACCCAATATCTACAAAAAATTAGAGACAAAGGAATAGAATATAAGTAGGTAGGTAGTCCCCAAAACAATGTATCGTATGATAATGTCATGGAAAAACCAACGACGGTGAAATCCAATGGAGGAATAGTTAATTAAAATAACAAATATTGCAAAAATTCGTGATTCAAATACAAAGCTGACTAACTTTATACCACAATGTATGCTTTATAGTTTATGAAGCAATGGCAACTTCTCGCTTTAAGAGGATTCGAGAACATAATTATTGTCGGTCATTGTCTAACACATTTGTGATGTAGGATTTTAGACGGGTTCTTTGCCAAGCATATCATTAATACCAATTAGTTTAATGAAGCGATTATAATTTATTCTAAAAACAGATTTGAATTTTTTTTCAAGTCAACTTGAAATTGCCTTTCCCACGTTTTTTTATTTTTTTATTTTAAGTTCTCCAAAATTTTAAATACGAATATTTTTAATTACTCTATTTTAATATAACGTTTTTAGGAATGTGGTGGGACAGACGATTTTAAGAGGAGAAATTCAAATCTAGGATTGTCAAAAAAAAAACACGTCTAAAATACTAAGTCGCGCGTATGTTAGACAACGACAGAAAATCATCTGAATAAAAGAAAAAGGTTAAACCCAGATGGGTATATAGATTGAAAATTGAAGGTGACAAAAGACGATACAAAGCAAATTTAGTGGCAAAAGGTTGACTAGAACAACTAGGCTTTGATTAAAATGAAGCTTATGCCCCTATAGCAGACATAATCACAATAATAATATGTTATGTGTGGCTAGTCATCAACATTTGACAATTGTAATTTGTAGGTCAGCTCGATGTAAAAACAGCCTTTCTCAATGGGCACTTGAGGACTGATGATGAGGGCAAGATGGGGCAGCCTCAAGGGTTTTTTGAAAACTCATCTTTATTGTTTGGTAATTAGGTACTAATATTACATTAAGCTATTTACTGGCTCAAACAACTATAGCAGTCGTATAGTATTGTCGCAGGCTACGAAATCCTAAAAGCTATAATACTAGTATTATAATACTGTTATGCATATTATTGTGGCTATTGGAGAACAACAGCAAATGTTATGTAGCAATGCCTATGAATTATTAGAAACTATATGGTAGTATAATAATCATCTCGGCTATTGCCAAAACAACATTGGATATTCACTATTCCACGAATCCAAAAAATATGTGAAACCATAATATAACTATATAACTATGAGCAGGCTTCTTAAAAGTCATGGTCATAGACCATAGTAAAGTTCTTAGCTAAACGATATTATTTATTAACTAGTATTCACTGATTAATATTCACAATCGCGGTTCCAGCTATCAGAATTTTTACAACAATTTTGTTACTTTACATGACAACAGTTGCAATGACAAATTCCTTTGGACACGAGCGCCATGAGCTTCGGTCCAGGACTAGAAAATGGAATGAGAACACCTATAAATGAGACAGCAACATAGCTTATTCAGATGTACCCGGGTTGTTGAAACGTGAGTACCTTCTATTCACACACCCACGACTTTGTACACTTTTATAATTATTGCTTGAACTAAAATGGATATACATACACTATAATTTTATTCAGAGTTGAAATCATCTTCTCCACTGTAGTCATACACTAGTATTTATTTATATAATTTATACAGAAGAAGTTTTTATTATTTTAAAATCGAGTATTTAAATTTTTTAATTCAAACTTAAGTAACTTTTTTATAAGTATATTAATGATATCAAAAAATATGAAAAATAATGAAACTACGACACAAATATTATTACCTTCTGTTTCGCGCAAAACGAACGTACAAATATACAATTTATATAGACGCCCAGGACCGTATTGGTTAGGCGAGCTACCGAGAAAATCTCTAGGTTTTTTCTTTTATTCAACAGAAATTATTCTTTTCTCTAATGCATACCAAAATATATTTTCAATAAATAATCTTATCAATTGCGAGTATCTCAAATCGAATTTCAATGACTTGAAAACTGTTTATAAATTGTTCTGCAAACTCTTTTAGCTGTTGTGTCACCGTCACGACCGTCGTAATCTCTTAAACGTCAATACAAACGACTGTCACAGTGTCACTTCATCTTAGTGTTGATTTTTGGAAAAGATAGGAAACTGCCAATAAGCGTTAATACATTTTGTCATATATAATACGGATCAATTCAAGCTATTTTCTTTGAAAATATAATGTTATCGCTACTCAGCTGGAATATAAATTACGAAATTGTTTTAACCCAAAATTCCAAGCAAACAAGAGCAATTTGAATAATTACAGATCAATAACTAATAAATATTATAAATAGGTAAGCGCATATTAACACCAAATAAGGTCATTAATATTGGATAGCTACTAATAAAAAATTAACATTAAGTTCCTACCTAAATAACAAACATAAAAATTGAAGGTATATATTATGTTGAATTAATGTTAAAAAAATATAAAAAATATTTTCATACCAAGTTGGTTTTTAAGACTTGCTGTTCTTATGAATTAACTAGATACCTATACAAAATTTCATATAACAAAATTAAATATTGGGATGAAATCCCCGTATGATCAATCAAAATCCTCACAAATTGATTGTATTAGCTAGTAAAAATGTATTGTTATGTTCCTTTTTGCTGATAGTACTGATGCACACCGAGTCTTGTTACTAAATTAGCCTGGTCAAATCTACAGAGTCCGCAGAATTTAAGAACTATTTAAGTAGCTGAACATGTTTAATCAATTATTAGAATAATGATGGTAATAGTAATCATAGACTAAAAATAGTTACAGCTTACGCCATGATATGAATAGCGCACAATTTTCAAATAATTTAGGCAACCAAACTACCTTACTCAACTGCTTATTAATTATTGTCGTGCTAAAAAAAACTAATGAAGAACCCTTCAATTAAATTTACTAATCACAACAAGAAAATTAAAATAAAAAATAATTAGAAACTGATTTAGTTAGAACAATTTTATTGTCCCAAAAGTTGATGACCGACAGGAATAAAAACACACACCATTGTAAAATCAAAACATTCTTTCACTATGATTGGATCTAAAATACGAAAATAGTAATTGAAACGTTTCCAAATGTCTGAACGCCTTGTACCTATACCTACATATAAATAAGTATTGGTCATATTATTTCATATATTACATTAAAAAAAATGTACTAAAATATTTGTACTTATATACCTAATATCCAGAACCATTGTTAGTGACCAGTGACCTTCCAATTACAATTATATAATTACCACACTGAACATACCTTATATATTTAGATACAAGTATCATCCAAGTAGGTACTAACAAGTTGTAACATATAATACTTAAGTTATAGTTATAGATAGGCTCCTTAGTGGCTATTGTTTAAGGGGCAACATATAGGCAATTTATAATCACGTTTTCGCCGCCCGAGATCGTTGTGTAAAGGTTGTAAATGATTATTATTTATTATATTTAAGTACGTGGTACGTGTCTGTAGCCCCCCCCACATTAAATTGTTTTCTTTTATGAGGCGACTACATTCTATAGCACACGTACGCGCATACACATTTTTCACTCTAGAAAAACAATACTGCAAAAACACAACATTTATAGTTTTGAAGTTTAAATCTAAGATATTTTAAGGAGTTCATTATCTATGGGTTTCTCATCGTAGACACCACGAAAATATTTTTGTAGTTTGTACTTACTCACGGGAGTATGAGACAATGAATAACGACAAGAGGCTAGAAAAAAATTAACATGCTTCTAGACCTCTAGACTCTAGTACAGTGGTGGATTTAAGGGGGGGGGTAAATGGGGTCTGGAACTCCTCCAAACACTGATATATACATAATATATAATTAAATAATGCATACACAGAGATATTCACATTATCAAGAATCTACTGAAATAATAATAATAATAATAATAATAATAATATAATAAAATATTTTACAATCGTATTTTAATAGTTTTGATAAAATCGTCCGTCGTAACGTTAATTCCCGATATTCTTTTGATAGTGAGTTTATCTGTGTATTTTTCCACTATAGAGGACAATATTATTATAACACTATTTCTGTAATTTTATACCTATTTTTAAAATGTATAGATTAGTAATGTTGACCGCCGACAATGTATTGACATTAACACTGACACACTGTAATAACGCAATAGTCGATATACAGAAAATCATAAGTGAGTACGAACTTATTTTTCAATAAAATGTCGTTTGAAAACCAAACCATTAAAAATTTATTTTTAAAACCTATTCAAAGTTCATATGTTAATCAAACTAGTACCTTAAAAGAAAATGTATCTACTAAAAGACCACTTTCACCTAATGATGTTACTGATATTAGTACAAAAAAATCTAGTGTGATTTAGCAACTCCGTCTTCGTCCTTAACTCATAATAATTATGATATCAGTTTATTCTGCAACAAAATTCTTTCACGAAATGAAATTTATGACATATTAAATAAAGTTTGAACACCGGAAATAAATTATAAATTTCCGATAACATCAATTACTTCTGGAAAAGACCAAAAAGTAAGAAATCTTAAATTTCAATATGCATGGTTAGTGCTATTTAATTGGTTGTCGTATTCAGGAATACAAGATGGGGCATTTTGTAAATTTTGTGTAGCGTTTTCGAAATCTAATGGTGTACACAATTCTCAATTGTTAGTTA